TTGTTTGGATTCACAGTGAGCAAAGAATGTACAGGTGATGGTGTATGTATAAGAGCTTATATTCCCATCCGAAGGCAAACATTCTCACTGAGATCCCCGGTCTCCATTTGCTCGGAGAATAGGCCACGTCTGTTCCTTTTTGGCACAGCTTGTCTTGCGCTATGGGGCAAAACAAGTCCTCAGCTTTGTGGCGGAGGAGGTCACGCTGGCAGGAGAAGCTGTGCAGTCCAACTACGCAAGAGAGGGCTGGGTTTTGGGTGTGCACCCCTTGAGTGGCACAGAGCCCAGCATTGTGAGGAATCCCTCTGATGCAATGTGCAAAAGGCAGATGAGGAAACAGGGAAGTCAGGCTGGAAGAGCAGCAGGGTGAAAGGGGGGACATGCTGGTACATTAAAGATATTACAGCCACTGGGCGCCACAGCCATCCCCACAGCTTGAAATGCAAAGCTGTATGTTGCACAGGCGTTGGGGGGAAGGTCCCTTTCTTCCCTCTGGTCCTCAATGGAATTGTTCAGACCAAAGCCCCAGCTAGGGCAGGGTGCTGGATCCTATGTGTATATGCAGTTTAGTCCTCTGCTATTCACAGTAACAATCTCTAAAGCATAAGCATAGTTCCCTGGTCAGTACCGATACTAGCCATTCTACCATGCCATTTCTGTGATTTCTTTAATGAAACAGCCTTCTTTACAATCAGCTGGACAAAAAGAAATGTTTTTGATTCTCCAAGGGCAGATTTCCAAGATCTTAGATTACTGATGCAAGAACTTTGAATACATAGAATGATATTTTAACAGAACAGAAAAACAATGTATTTTTTTAACTGGAACAGAACCGTTTGCATCCAGCACAGAATGCTGAAATATGCATGTAGCGTTCGGTAGAAACATTTACATGAATAGGATACATTAATAGGATGATTATATGATTAAGCACTAAAAATTCAATAACATTTTAAAGCCATACATACAAAGTTAATAGTGTATGTATGGCTTTAAAATGTTATTCCACTGTGAAAAGTGATGTCTTACCAGGATTGCTTCCTTGAGAACTATGAAATATTGTCAGAGCTATTCATTTTAGTGACAAAAATAAATTTTCCCTTCTACTAGTCTATCAGGAGCCTGCACAACTGTGAGAGAAGAGCAGGAATTTCTTTTTGCCTGTGTATCAAACAATTATCTTCCAAGTTTTCAGTGAGTTCCTGCTATGCATACTTCTTGAGATCAGTGGCATTGCAGAGATGTCACTAAGGGCATCATTTGAAGACAATGGGATTGCCCAGATTACATTGGACAACTGCAATTTATTTTGCAAAACCTTCACCAAAGCTGCCTGTATGCATGAAGGGAAGAACCCAGCCTGGCTGTCATTTTCCCAGGTTGAACTTGCAAAAAGAATAGTGGGGGAGGGGACAGGACATATGTTTTTGCTGATATATTTGCTCTGGAGACACTGAATGATGAGGAGTAGAGCCCCACAACAAACAGTTGCTTTTCAGAACAAAAATGAATTTTAACTTTTCTCTAGCATATTAAATTATGTTCAGTTACATTATCACATATTTTTCACATACCGTGTCATGTGATTTATCTGCAACCTTATATACATGTACATGACACGGTATGTGAAAAAATATGACATGGTATGTGAAAAATATGTGATAGTCTAATTAGACATAATGATGTATAATGTCCTATTTTGTTTCTTTTCTGTTTACAATTATTTCACTGTGATGGTCCAGTATCTTAATGCCGGAACTTCCCTCCTTCCTTTATACAGAATCGGAATAATTTTGGGCTGTACAGGTTTCTTGTTGCCAGCCCCAATCCTTCCTTAGGGGCAATTCAAGGGATGAGAGAACTGGTTATGAAGTTAACTGAGGTGTACACATATGCAGAGAGCACTTACCTTTGCTGCAAACATAGGTATCCTCTGTTAAGACACAGACTGCCAACTATTTCTCTATACTGTACATGTGGGACCAGCTTAAAGAGGGCAGCGCAATGTTAAGGAGGCAGCTGGGCTAGAGACAGAAGTTACACATAGAGGTGTACCGATACATCGGTCCAATATTGAATTGGTACCAATATGAAAAAACCTGGCTGTATCGGATATCAGTTCAATGGGGCCAATCATTTGGCCGATAAATACCCGTGCTGTGCGCAGGCGTAGCGCAGCACTCAGGCAGCAAGCAGCACAGCTGGCAGCATGGAAATCTGCCTCCAGCTGGTAAGTTCAGTGTGGTAGAAGGGAAGGTGGAAGGGAAGGGGTGTGTGTGGGGTGGAATAGATCAGTGCCCTTTGTGGCGAGGGAGGGGGCAGAGGCAGGGGTAGGCACTGCCCAGCTGAGGTGGGGGGGCAGAGCCATGGGTTGGTGGGGGAGGCAGCTCCTGCTGCTGCTTGCACCCAGGGAGGGCACCGGGTGGGGGGGCATGTGCCCCACGGATCTGCACAGGGCAGGGTGGCTGCAGTTGGGGCTGCACAGGGCTCTTCTCAGTGGGGGTTGAGCCTGGAGCAGGTGCCAGCGGCACTGGGAGGATGCTGCATCCACCCCAAATTTTGCTATTGCTCTGCTCCCAGCACTGCTGTTGCTAGCCTCCTGGTGCAGCCCTGGCTCAACACCTCGCCTCCACACTCACACCGGGAAGAGCTGGGGCTGCATCGGGTGGCTGGCGGTGACGGCGTTAGGAATGGAGCAGTCGTGAAATTTGGGGTGGATGCAGCATCCTCCCAGTGCTGCTGGTGCCCACTCCGAGCCCAGGCCCTACTGAGAAGAGCCCAGTGCAGCCCTGGCTGCAGCCTGCCCCACCCTGTGCAGATCCAGGGGGCACGCCCCCCCTCCTGGGGTGCAAGCAGTGGTGGGAGCCACCTCCCCCCCCCATAAGCCACAGTTCAGGCCTCCCCCGACCCTGCCTGGACAGTGCCTATCTCTGCCCCCTCCCTCACCACAGGGGTGTTGATCTTCCCCTCTTCCCCATGCCCCTTCCTTCTCTCTTCCCCTTCCATCACACCGGACTTACCAGTTGGAGGCAGTTGTATCGGAAATTGGATCGGTATTGGCCGATACGCTTCCTTAAATAGCAGCTATCAGTATCGACCCCAATAATCTCTATTGGTGCACCCCTAGCTACACATAAATCAGTTTATGTGATCAGAAACTGGCTTAAACCTGCAACAGAACAGAAGTTCAGTGCACATAAATCAGTTTCAACATGGCTGAAACTGGTTTAAGACAAACCTGTTTGAATGTAGTATCAGGCTTAACTGATTTGGGTCAAACTGGTTTCTGAAACTTCTGTCTCAGACCCCTTCCTGGTTCAAGTTAAATCACAGTCCCCCAGTATCCCAGCATGCTTTGCAGCCCTGGGCTGGGCTGGGCTGTCTGCTCCAGACAGCAGAGCTGGCCCTGCTCCTCTGCTGCTTAACTCGAGCAGTGAGGGCTGGCTGACAAGGGCAGGGGAGGTGGGGCCAGCCTAGCTGGGGATACAGCCACCCCCAGGCAAACCTCTGGCTGGGGCCAGGGAGGGGGGTTAAACACCCCTTCCCCAACTCAAACTTACTGCTGGCTATGACTGTGGACTACAAATCCCAGAGGCACCTGGAAGCAGGAAGAGGAAGTGATGAATAACCCTGCAGAGTCCTGCTGCTGTAATTCTGGACTGCAAATCCTAGAGACCTTGGAGGCAGCAGGAAGAGGAAATGAACACACAGAGAGCCGTGCTCTAGCACCCCCCAGCTTCTGGCATGAGCCACTGCAGACATATGGTTAACATTCCTGAATCAAAGGTAAATGTCTGTTCACTTCTCTTTCAATTTAATCTGTGCAATTTAGACTAACCTGCAAAGACTGAATCGATTCAGCCTCGGGCTTTTTGACTGTCTGTACCTAGCCCTGGAGATTTCCTTTGGTACAAAGCTATTATAGCCAACTCTGTTATCGGCTACTAGCATGAATGACTGGTGGCTCCTGAGACTGGGAGGGGCACAATTTGTGGGTGGCAGGGTCGGCGGCAGGGTGGCGAGCAGCAACCACTCACAGAAGCCATCAGAGGCAGGAGAGGGGTGGTGATGGTGAGTGGCGACTGTCTGCAGAAGCCGGCACTGGTGTTGGCAGTGGCCAGTCTTGGGGGGAGGGGGGGAAGGGGGTATGTGCCCCCCCCTCCACCCATGAGTTGCCTATGGCTACTAGGCATTGACTGTATCTCACTCATCAAGAATGAGCTGGGCCATGCTGAAGTCTGGAGAATGTGTGGTTCTAGCACAGTGTTCTTTGGTGATCCTGGATGGGTTAAACAGTTCCTAGAGAGATAGTCCAGTCAGCACAAATTTGATATTTATAACAGAAAGGTGTGCTTTCATACTGTCCTGGAGGGAAGCCATTTTCTTTTCAGTTTTTTGCTTTGTTTTTTTTTTTTTTTGTACCAAGGCCAAGCAGTGGGCATTGCATATTTTAAGCAACTGTGAACGCAAACTGTTCTGTAGCTGTAATGACAGTGGTGCCTGAAGTGATCGGTGCCATATTCTATTTTAACAAAAATTAAGTGACTATGATGCTCCTGCAAGACCAACAGAAGACCTCCACATACTCAGGGATTTGCTATAGCACAGATGGTACTAGTACCCCAAGCATATTGCAGCACAAAGGTACATCAAACCACCTGGGGGTGAGGAGAGCCAATTTAGCACTCCACTTCTCTTCAGCTGTTGGCATAACTGCTAAAACTGAGCACAGGGAGACTAAGTAGCTGGAAGCTGGTTGATTCTGTGAGATGAACATGGCTTAGATCAACTGCTCATTCTTGCTTAAATGGCCATTGCAAATCTCAGTCACTACTGAGCTGAGCTAGATTCAAGCCATGCAATATGGGCCCCTTTCTAGAAGTCATTCATATGTAGAATTTCCATTGACTTCAGTAGGACTCCTACATGCGGGCTCTATTACATCAAGCTGCAAAACAGAGTAGTATAAGGCAGAAAAAAAGAAGAAAGAAGGATTTTACCTGCTCTGTACGCGCGTCTCCAAAATTCCCTTTAAAAGACAAGATCTCAATGTTATTACAATCTACTGAACTTGCAGGAAAACACAAACAAACATAGCATAGTAAACTTAACCTTTTTACCTTCTTTGTAGGGTACAGCTATTTCATATCCTGTTCTATGATGGATGGATGAATTAAAGTGGTTAACATGTTTGAGCATTTGCGATATACATATGCAGTTTCATATGCTACCAAAATATAAAAACATAAATTTTGCAGAAAGCACCACAGGAGATACCAAGCTAACGACAGAGCCAACTCCGTGCATAATCATGGATAATTATATGAGGAACTAGGTATCCCATATACCTACCCGAGCTAGCTTGGAGGGCGCTGGTAGAATTTAGCAGAGGTACGGACCTCTTGGTGGGCTGACTACCTGGCCATCTACCAAGGGCCCACCTAGGTTTTGCAGCCGGTGATGAACTTTATGCTGCAATGGCGACAGTGCTAGCAGTACCTGTGCTAACTAGTTTAAAGTTAGACAGGTATGTCTACACGAGCTGCAGTCACCCCTTTGACTGCAGTGTAAACATACCCAGAAAGAGGGTAGCATATGCTAAAATTGGTTCTGGTAACACAGCACTTTCAAATTATCTCTTTGAAAATGTGATATGATACTTGAGCATGGCAAAAAGTGAATATTGCTACCTTGCCGTGTATACTTAAGAATATTTGTAAAAGGGGCTTGATAGGATGGTCACTACTATGGCTTCCTCATGTTCAAATATTCTGCCAGTTTGCTATATTGGCAAATATTCTGCCAATTCTTTATATTATTATTGTTATTATTATTTTATTTTGACAAGTGTATAACATAGAGTCCTTTTTCTTGTCAAGTATTTGTTTAGTTCCGAATATCCTTGCAGAAACAGCATCACTTATTATTTTATAAACACTGGCTTCAATGGAATTAAGTTGGTTGATATTTCAGAATGTGACCCTATATACAAAACAATAAAACAGTGGCCGTAATAAGAGTAATTAATAATAAATCATGTTATTAGTAGGATGTGGCACCTTTCTTCCAAAGGATCATAAATAGTTTTGCAAAAAAGCGGAAACTAAGTAAAAGAGCAGTTAGATGACTTAATCAAGGTCTCACAAGTTCGCAGTAATGTCAGGAACAGAACTCAAGCTCCCTGCCTCCTGTTTTCTGCTCTTAGTGCTACATCCTGGTGTCTTATTGTCCTGCCATCACATAGAAACCACATGTGATTTGTTAGATTAGCTATTTTTCTCCCTGTTCAAGAATTCTTCTCACCCCAGTTTACAGCTTCTTTCTGTTGTGCGAACCTGAAAGTCCTGGTAACTTGTTAGCTTACCTGCTAGATTCCAGGGCAAGGATTTGTCCATTAGAGAGGCAGCAGAGATGTCCATTCCCAGCTCCTTCTTTTTGTTGTCTGTCTGTCTGCGGATAATAGATCTTTATAGACAAAAAGTGGTGGGAGGGGAGGAATGACAATTGCAAGGGGGAGAGGGTCACATAATAGCAAAGCCATTTTGTTTGTTTATATCTTTTCAAGTGTATAGCAGTCTATGTAATTCACTGTTTTCAAACTGTAGCTCTTTTCTACCAGATGCCATTCTGTTTGTTGACTGAGTGTTACTATGAAAACTCTCTTGCCCTTGCAATCGTTCTGTGGCAGCTCTGTCAGTCAAAGATGCGGTGGAGGTTCTTGTCTTTCAAGCGATTAAGGATTTTGTTAAACAGAACAATCTGATGATCTGTTGGGTGCAACCTTACACACAAGAGGGATGTTTCACATTGAAACAGTTCTGAGAAAAGGCAGTCAGTCAGATGCCAAATGTGATGGATGGCCAGGACTCTGTTGTCTACTTTTGCCTACACTCAAACCCCTCCAAAACAGTATTGAGATACAAGCTGTGATCTACTCTTCCTTGTTCAAGGAAGGAGTACCAGCACAATGTGGAATGTACAAATGAATTATTCGTTTTCCTTATTCTTCATTAGTCTTCTGTTACCCAATAGTATATGTAGTCAATATGCCCCCCATTTACATGTTATATCTATTATGCAGGTACCTTGTTAACTGTGCAATAAATTTAAACTGGCTACATGTGCGAATTAACTATGGCACCTTTAAAAAGGTCCAACAAACTGTAAAGTTATTGCTTGAAAATGATGTAATAACTTCATAGCTGGTTTCCATGCAGTTTTAATTTGCATGAATAGGCAGTCTGTGGCTGGGAGCTGCTGTGAACTCCCAGCTGCAGGGGCTCTCCATGCAGTGGCTAGGAGATTGCAGCTGCTGTGATCTCCTGGCCGTTGCGATCTCCCAGCAGTGGGGTGCTCCACGCACCTCCACATGTGATGCAGCCAGGACCAAGAGTCCCATCAGCTGCAGGACTCTCAGCCCTGCTGCACGTGGTCCCTGTTGGAGCCTGCTTTTTGCCGGTGCAGGGGGAACTCAAGGTCTAATGCACGCTCCTACAATCATGCCTCTTGCCATGCATGCGCAGCTTGGCAGGGGGCATAATTGTGTGTATCGTGCATTAGATCCCATTGCACCTTTACCTGCATGTGTAAAGGGGGCTTCAGTTTTCCAAGGCAGGGGAATCAAGATTTCTGATTATATCTTGTGCTGTGTCAGCATGCCTAGCTGCAACCCTCACACTGCCAAGAGTTCAGTCAAGTCAGTCTGAGTTTTGCCTGCAGGAAGGGAAGAGCAGAATGTGAAAAAGAGAAAAGCTGTTGAGCATGCCTGGTTTGATTTCCCTTGCTTTTTCATTCTGGCATTCAATCCACCACTTCTGGGATGTGGCCACATCTACTCTTGCACTACACTGTGTAAAGGTACAATTGCACCTCATGCCATTTTTTAAAAAGTTTGTTAATAGATTATCAAGTGCCGCTTTTAGTTTTGACAGAAGTAAATTATGAGAACAAAAATGTGAATGCTTTCATGTCACACACTAATTTGTTAACAGCTACAGCACACAATCTCATTTGGCTTTGATAATACAAATAATACATTCCAGACATAAAAAGCCCTTAATTATTTACATTCTTGTCAGTAATAAAAGCAAGAGCTTAGACTTTCCCTGTGCCTTTGTCTTCCTACTCTCAGTACAGTAAAGGTTATGCAAGCAGCTGTGAATCCATAAAGCAACTTTAAAGCAACCCTGCTCCTCATCAGCTTTCCCTGAGCCATATTAAAGCTGTAATAATGCAACTGTTCCATCACGCTAAGCTTTATTGGCTCAGCCAAAGAAACTTAAGAAACTTCATTGGAGACCAGATTAGGCTGGTTACAAAATGGAGAGATTCTTTTGCTCTCCGACCCCATTATCTTTTCCATAGTATCTTGATCAGCTTTCTTACACATAGCCCTGGATTCTGTGGAGACCCGTAAATTGCTTTTTTGGCTGCCAAATTGCTGTAACCCTTCTATTTTTATGTTTTAAAAGAGCTTAAAACTGTCCATCCTCTTTGGATGTGTCTTTAAATTGGCCAGTGCTCGGAGGATTTCATATATATCCGAAGGCTTAGAAGAAGATGTTGCTTCTACTGAGCTTCTAGTTTTATAGTCAACAGACATGAAAAGCCCAGTAGGGATAAAAGGAACTTAACCAGTTCTATCTAATACATATAAATCTACCTAAGAGCTCAACGAACTAGAAGTACTCAGTGCGCTGTTTATCTCAGTCTAAGATGCAGAGAATGGGTCTTCTGCACATATGCCACATATACCCTTTCAGTGCCAAGTTAATATGAATTAAAAGACTGTGATGAGTAAACAAGGTTAGGCAGGGCTGGGCCAACCTGAATCAATGTAAAATAATTGTCAGGTTTTTCTGTCAGCAATGACAGTTTGTTTTGGCTCCACGGTCTCAGAGCTATAGATTATAAAATGTTTTCAGCAGAGCAGTTGCCAGATACTTTGTTTATTCTCCTTGTTTTGCAAATACTGAGAATTTCCATCAATTGCACACACAGTTCATATGACAAAAAGCCAGGGGTTTTTTTTTCCAAACCTTTTTTTTTCCCTCCTGCAAATAATCAAATAAGCTAACATAATAATATGTTAATAATCTAATTTAATCTAGAGGACCTTTGTATAAAATCAGAAGGCCATAAAGTGCCCATACTATATAACAAATCACTGGTAATAAGAGTTAATTTTATATTTTCAAACGGCTGCATACACATTAATTAATTAATTAATCCACCCAACATCACTTTGAAGTTGGTGACTGTTATTATCTCAGTTTTACAGACGTAGAAATGAAGAGAAATGTGCCCAGGGCCACACATAATTGCCCTATTTAGCATTCTTGGTGCACCCAAAACGCCCATTGCCTTCAGTGGAAAGTTTTGATTGCCCAAAAAGCAAAGAACCGGGCCAGCAGTGACACAGCCAGGATTAGATCTCTGGCGTTCCTGGTTTCCAGTTCCACAATCACTTTACTACATTCTGCTTCAAACACCACGTTTATGACAACGCACTAGAAGCACACAGATGCTATTTAGGTAGAGCAGTTACTTTCATTAGTTGGGAACACATAGTAAAATTATTTTCTTACCCACTTCAATGTTTGCAAACTGGCTCTGCCTCCTTTTTAATGGGAGTTTTTGTAAAAGACAATTAACAGTGTAAGAATCCCCATAAATGCTGCAAAAGTGATGCATTTTGATTTTGTTTCCTTGGCTACAAAAGACAGCATTCATGGACTGGATGGATAGTGAATGTGTTCAAATAAAGTTTTTCCTTTAAATGAAATGCTGGCAACAGCTAGGTATTTCAAAGGAAACAATTAAGGACTGTTCTTACTGTGCTAAAACCCCCCCAACCAAACAGATAAATATGAAAGACTGTCATGAGGCCCTATCTTAATTTTTTCTTGGTTTGGGACTGTACAACATGCTCAAGTTATTTAAACATTTTTTTCCTGTGTTTAGTATAAAATCTTACAGGGGACTAAAAATAATGTATATTTTAAAAGCATCTAAGTAATACAAAGTGGCTGCATCTACATGTGCGGTAGACTACACAGTTCTTACTGCATGTGTAGTACTGCATAAGCAAGTACTAAATAACTGTGCAGTAACTGGCATTACTGTGCAGTACAGTCACTGCCTGGTTTTTGCTTAACGCTACTGCGCAGTAGCAATGAGCTACCGCACACACAGTAGCTCGTTACTACTGCGTAGTATTGTCGCCGCACGGTTAGTACCAGGCACCACTACTGCCCAGTAGGAACAAGATATGGCACAGTAGCTTATTGCTACTGTGCCTTAGCATCTCATGTAGATGTGCCCAATAAGTGCTTGTGCTGTAGCTTATTGCTTACAGTATATTTTTTTTGCATTATACCTTATATGAGTTGCTTTAAAACAATACACTGCTTAACAAAAGGCTAGGGCTGTTTTTTTAGTATCTAACATATATACGTTGGGGGGGAAAAATCCCAACCATATTCAAAATGAAAACATAATAAATTGGAAAAAAGAATACGAGAAGAAGGGGGAGAAGGATGACAGTCTGCAGCAACAGAGGAGGAAGAGGAGACAGATATAACTGGACTGTATTCTGTGAACAAGGCCATGGAAATTATCAGCTGCCCAGCTGATTCAGCCAGAAATAAGATGACCCACAGAAGTCAATACCTTTTCTTTTATGCAGTGCGAAGTCATGGAAGGGTTCAAATAAGTTATCCTCTTCCCATGGATAGCAACAACAAGTCCAGAGAAAAAAAACAGTTTGGCTATAAAGTTTACCATGACCGCTAAAACAAAAGGATGACAGTAAAAGGTTAAAAAAAGCACGTGGAGCTGAGACTCATAAAAATCATCTGTAGGCCCCAGCTTGTTTAATTTGTGATACAAAGATCAAAAACGCAAAAAAAAAAAAAAAAAAGTGTAGGGCATCACTCTGTGTGAGCAGTTGGTGTTTGTGCAAACTGGGGTAAATCGTGTAAGAATCAGCTCTGAGTAGTGATGAGAAACCTGACCTGTTTTAGACCTGCCTTAAAATATTAGGATTTATTTTATTTTTTTTACAAGGTGAGTGACTAACTTGGCTCAGGTCACAGCTGGATTCTGGTTTCTAACTTCTGAACTAAGAGACAGCCTAGCCGTTGCCTAGAATAAGGTCCCGGCTAGAAAGAGCCTGAATCTGGCAGCCTGTTCTACAAATGCTCTTTTTCTTGCTCCTCTGTTATTATTCAGTGTCAAACAAAGGGCATGTTTAAAACAAAAGCTAATTAATTATTTGGGGGCTAATGTTCTAGTTATATTGTTGTTCTTGTTACATGATATGAGCAAGGGAAGGCTGAATATTTAGATGTGATTTTTATCTCTCTTATGGCCTGATTCAAATACTGTTCAGGTGGATGGGAGGTTTTTCATTGACTTTAATGGGTTTTGGATTAGGCCCTTATACTCAGGAGGAGAGAAAGCTC